AACATTTGTTTTTGAGTTTTAAATATTGTATCACAAAATTATATGTAAAATATTTATATCACAAATGATTTTATTAAATGACAATAAGAAATCTGAGATTTGTGACTATGTCATTTACTTATAGTTAAATCATTTATTATTTAACATTAATTAATTTTATATTTTTATTGTTATTTTTACTATTGTTTTGGTTACGAACTGATGTAATAAATACAAATGAATTGAATTCTATAGTTAAAAAGTTTAGGTTACAAAATAAAAAATTATGTTTTCTATTACAGGAGACATATAATTGCAAATTTAGAAATAATATTTTTCTATAAAAAGTATATGTAACAAACACTGAATGTAATAAGTTATTTGTTCAATTTATTTTATTACTTTTATAACACATTATACTGCATTATAAATTATAGCACAATACAATTATGCAATTAATACAATTAATCAAAAATTCTATATATAAATACAGTACAATTTATCATGAAAAATAACGCATATTTAATACATCAAAATATTTTAGGCTATATTATACATTATTATAACACAATTTACAAAATTCATTATGGTGAACAAATCAATTTTACTTAAAAATATTTTATCTATAAAACTAGCTTACAATAAATTAGATACAATGTATTTGCTTAATCAAAATCAATACTTTTTAAAGTTTAATTTCCTGTGTTTTAGTATAATGTTGTCATATAGTAAATACAATTACATTAACATTGTTTGCTTTCATATATTTACAAAATAAATTGGATTACATAGCGATTAATAAAAAAATACATAAAAATGAATTAAATTAAATTATTAAAAAATTATATCTTTTATGAATCTGATGAGTGATAATTAATAAATATACTAAAATAAAATACAAAAATATTTTAATGAGTCAAATGTAACATGGTAAATGAAGTTAGACGTGAGTGATTGGAGTATTATTATTAATAGGCTTTGAGCCGTTATTATACTCAATACTACCGGTATTTACGGACTTCAGGCCTAATAGTGTCGATTGATGTCTGTGTTGGATATCCCGATAAAAGCACCACAAGATGTGATGCTTAAAGTGGGTCCGAAAGGCACCACTTATGATACAAAGGACCACTGGATTCATACACGAGTTCAGGAATGACAGCACGAAACCAATGATTCGCCAAAAGTGCCAAAAATTATTATATGAATCGCTCGCATTTGGGTGAAAGTAATACCAGAGCATAAATATCTGTCCATTACAACATACAAATTATTAAAATTTAATTTTTATAGAAATTTATAATATTTGTATTAATATTGAGAGAGAGAGAGAGAGACCTGGTTTGGGAAGAAACAGATGGCAAACATGACGACGAGTCCCAACACTATTTTGGAGATCTTCTTCCTGCCCCTCAACTGTCTGTATTGTGTCTTATTTTTTCCGATCGGATTCTTAGCGCTTTTAATCAGATGTCTGGCCATCAATGTGTAAAACGAGGCAATCATTATGAGTGGTATCGCGTAATACAACAAAAACTACTCTTAGTGATATTGAAAACCTATGTTTAGTGGGTTGAGAACCCCTTTACCTATCGTCTGCGTTTAGCTGAATAGTAGCCTATACTTATGAAGGGTATGTTTGCTCAACATCCGCGGCCCTTACCGTATTATTATACTCGTTAACCATATGATCGCATTGATGGCAATTGTCTTATTATGATTGCTAATGTACTTCATTGGAGCAGTGATTACCGCATACCTCTCGGCACTCAGTATAGTTAGAGTAAATACTGTGACACCAAGTGATATATCCCTGCTAAATTCACTGAGTTTACAGACCACTTCCCCGTAGGGCCAGCTCTCAAACGTGTAGATAGTGCTGACAAAAGGCAACGCCACTACGATTATGATTAGGTCCCCAATGGCTAAACTAATTATGTAGGTGTTGGGCACTGTTCTCATGAATTTATTACGAAAAAATATATAGACTACCGTTCCGTTGCCTAACAGTCCCACTATGAATATGAGTAGGAATATCNGATTATGATTAGGTCCCCAATGGCTAAACTAATTATGTAGGTGTTGGGCACTGTTCTCATGAATTTATTACGAAAAAATATATAGACTACCGTTCCGTTGCCTAACAGTCCCACTATGAATATGAGTAGGAATATCGCGGGCACTATATAAGTCTCCGGCCGACTCTCGTACGGCACGTATGAGGTGGTGTTGTCATGAGAATTGGTGTCACTGAAATTAGCTAGCTCATCGTATAGATAATAAATAGATGTCGTGTTCACTATTTTATTGTTTGCCGACATTTTCATGATTATGGCGCTTCCAGTCTTCAGTAAATCTTAGGATTCATGGGATTTAGTGTCGTGAAGAGTAAAGAATGTAAAAAAATACTCAAATTATTAGCTTAATTATTTGCTTTACTTATATTATATTGACATTACATAGTGGCATTCTGTGTATATGTCAAGCAGTAAATGTCTAAATGAGCTGATTTATTAGGACTTTATATTAGTTTACATTTAATTTTAGAGATGAATCCAATTTATTACACAATACTTGTCCGCATTTTATTCATGGCATCCTTGTTTATTTCCTGAAAATAAAATAAAAATAACAGTTAAAACATTCAATATATCAGTAAATTGTCTAATATTTTAATTAATTTATAAATTGGATAAATGAATATCAAAGTATACTTGTATGGAAAATTGATCCATGAAGTGATTATACGTTATAAACTATTACAAAAATAGTTATTGTTCGCTAAAAGATCAATTTACAATCCTCTTATACTAATTTAATAGTCTATTCATAATAGACATTGTAATTTAATAGAGTTTTCACTGATTTCTAAACTAAAAGGTATCTAAGAAATCGGACACAAAGCAAAGCTTTTATCTGAATATATAGACGGATAATAAGATTACACACACGAGATGTACAGACAAGGATTGGGTGGAGTGAATGGGCTGTCAACGGCATACATTTACTTATAAAGTTTTTTTTGGTTTGGAAATTATTTTTTTTCATTTAAAAAGTGTAGAAAATATATTTTCATATTTCAATTCTCTGACATTGGTTTCATTAATTATATGATGACTTTTATGGATTATTTCGAGTGAGAAAGATTCATAAATAATTTAAGATTTGTTTCAAAAAAAATAATTTTAATATTCATGAAATTGATTGATTTTCAAATGCATGGACAATAAATATTAATTATATTTAAATGCGTGTGCTGTACGTCAATTGGAGGTATACCATCAGGATAGATTGCGATTATTGAGAATCATAGAGATATAATATTATTTTAATAATAATATTTTAGGTTGCGTAATCAATGTAACTATGTAACATAGTTAATTTATGTAACTTAATTAATCAGGCATACGTAAACACTTTAAAATTTAATATATAGTAATATAATAAATTAGTTATAATTAAATCTAAGTACAGTATTATAAATAAGTTTTTATAAATTACAAAAATTAATGGGAAAAAATATTTTTAGTTATATAAGTTTATATTTAAGATTATTTTTATATGTAAATATAATTTTAAAGAATATTCTATGCCGTATACAGTATTATAAATACAAAATAAAATATTTCATTTCAAAATACAGTAAATTACTTTTAGGCAGATTGAATTCAGTAAATGTTTGAAAACATAAACAACTTCATTTACTTCTAAACTGTTTACTGATTTTAGTACTGTATGTAAAACTACTGTTTAGTACTGTATGTACTGTATGTAAAACTACTGTTTAGTACTGTATGTACTGTAATGTAAAACATTTACTAAAAGTGAATATTTTTAGGGATTTTAATCAGCATAAAACTTAATATTGATTACGTATTCTTGCATTAAAATAAAATAGATATTAAATAAATGGGTAAAATTTAATCAGCCTAAAAATTATTGAAATATTTTAATATGATCACTAATTTAGTCTGATGAATTCACATTTCTATAACATGTGCTTACTTAATTTGTAGTCGTCTGACTTAAACATGTTTATACAAAATAGCATGTTTTCCAAATAATATTATACTCTCTTTTATTAAAGAAGTCTCCAGATGATTTAAAATTAAGATCTTGAGGGCTACACAACTATGACAACGACTACATGTGTTGTGGAGTTTTCCGATGGAATTCATGAGTGAAACTCCAATAATAAACACTTATTTATAATTGAAATTTTCAGGTAATAGTTCACTAAAAGATTTTAATCATGTAATAGTTCACGAGGTATAACAAAAATATAAATTAATTCTAGACGTGAAATAAATGTATTTCATAATTAATCTTGGTTATAATGGTATATGCAATGTGGAAGTTCGCTTGCACTGAGTAGTCATTATGTGTTAAGCCTAGTTTAATTTGTTTCCCAGTGTTGCTATTATATTTCAAAAAGCTAGAAATATAAATTCCCATTGGCATTAGATAACAACTGTTGTTGAAAAGTCTTTATTAATACTTTCGACTTATTTCTCAAATTTCAATTTACTTCTCATTTATAAGGTATTTATTTTCATATTTATTTTTATTAGTATTTGGACTGAAAGGAGAGAGCATTACTTTATATAAGCTACAGGTCTTTCACAATGTACTTGAAATTCTTAACAAGTTTATATAGATATCAAGTCAAAACAAATCTATTCGTAATACTAAACATCTTTTTACAAAATAACATGATTTTTACTAATTAAAAAAGTTGTCAAATTATTAATTTACTTGTACTGTATAACATAATAGATTATAATACTGTACAAATGAAAATATTCATTAAAATATCATTATTTTTATAATGGATAATAACTTTATTGTTTATACATTTTTTAGTTAAATTTTAATGATTGATGTCTTTGTCTGTTAGTTAATATATTATTCATAATTCCCGACAAACCGATCATCATTTCAATTATACAGTACTGTATAATAAATAAAACTTTAGAGTCTAAAGTTTACACATATTACATACTCTAACTATATGTAAAAACATTTCAAAGTCCTTGATAGTTCAGGTAATTATTTTGAAGTATCGGGAAAATACGTAATGACTTTCAAATTGAAGTAAAATCAAAATTATATGTTCAGTCAATTTCTAACTAAGAAATTCTAAGCAGCTTGTAATCCCTGTATAGTAGAAATAGTAAATAATTATTTTATTTACTAATTTTTGTAAAAATAATTGTCAAAATAAATATTTATATATAATAAACGTTTTTAATAAATTTTATATTAAAGGCCACTTAAAATATATTTATTAAGTATTATTTTTATTATTCCCTTTTTATATATTTATTTTTATAACTTTGATCGGACATTATATAATAATCATAATAACATAATTATTGCAGGAGCAATATAACATTATATTAAATATTAGTCAACAATCTTATTTATAATAAGTAATTATATAAATATTAATAACATGATTGAGTATTCTCTATACTATTATTGATTAATTAATATAAATCAAGTAAAGGTTGTAAAATATTAATATTAATGAAAAATAATAACAATTTCATTACACATATTTAATTAGCCTAGGAAACCGGTTAACTAAATACACGTAACAATTGAATACATGCAAAGGGAATTAAGATATTGAATCCAATAAAACAATTTATAAATACGATAGATTACACTTACTAAACAATACTAAAAATAGAAAGCCATAGTATAATATAAGGTATGATATTAATATGTCCATTATAATATTGTTATCACCGGCAATATACTGTATATAGTACTGGCACAAATAATATTTATATTAAAACTTATATTTAATAAATATAAAGTAAATATATAGTATGTTATATTATGGAAATGTTGGGGAACAAAATAGCATTAACAACTGTAATAATTTTTAGATACATTTTAGACAAAACTCTTTTAAAAATCTAAAAATACTGAATATTGAAAATAAACTTTAAATTATTTATTCTGCAAAGATATTATAAACATTTTGCTAATAAAATCAATAAATTTATATAAATAAATAGTTCACTCATTCAGTATTTAATCAAACACACATTTTCACTCATTAAATAATAATTTTTGAAATATATGTCACAATTATGTGTTTCCATAAAATAGTAAAAATAAAAAACACCAAATTTTCAAAATTATCAAAAAACTTCGTAAATATCCAATTAAAGAGTTTTGGGATTTTTATTTATTATGCAAACTTGGAAATAATGGCATAAATAAGCGATTACAATTACCCAATAGCATGCAATTTGATCATTATAATTAATAAAAATAGACCTCGACCTATTGACATTACTTATTAATTAAAATTGTATAAAGTGCTTTCCAATTGACAAATTAACCATTAAATTTTTATAATATTAATAAAGCTTGAAGTGTTATCACATTCAATACAGTACAAGTAAAAGCTTGAAAGCTTGATATAAGTGATATTTATTACCTAAAATAAAAATGTAATCAATAATTATGGAAAAGTTTTGTATTTGAAAATATGATTAAATACATCGATCGGTGTTACATTGAGGCAACTGCTCAAGGAAGTCAACATCTAATACTTGTCACTCAATTACTTTTATTTATTAAGTTTGACTCAATATTCAATATATTTTTATTGTAAAAGACATCATCGATTAGAAAATATTTCTTACGTGAAAATAATCTTATAAAAGTCTTATAATAGTAACAATTTAATTAAACTTTATTCTGGATATTAGCAAAATGTTTATAATATCTTTGCAGAATAAATAATTTAAAGTTTATT